CCTCGGTGGTCATCTAGTCCAACCCCCTGCTCGAGCAATTGACCCTTATAGAATAACAGAGTTGGGGGGGACCTCGGTGGTCATCTAGTCCTGCCCCCTGACTAAGCCGGAGACCCTTACAGAATAACACAGTTGGAGGGGACCTCGGTGGTCATCTAGTCCTGCCCCCTGACTAAGCAGGAGACCCTTACAGAATAACCGAGTTGGAGGGGACCTTGGTGGTCATCTAGTCCAGCCCCTTGACTAAGCAGGAGACCCTTACAGAATAACACAGTTGGAGGGCACCTCGGTGGTCATCTAGTCCAACCCCCTGCTTGAGCGGGAGACCCTTACAGAATAACAGAGTTGGGGGGACCTCGGTGATCATCTAATCCAGCCCCCTGACTAAGCAGGAGACCCTTACAGAATAACACAGTTGGAGGGCGCCTCAGTGGTCATCTAGCCCAACCCCCTGCTCGAGCGGGGGACCCTTACAGAATAACACAGTTGGAGGGCACCTCGGTGGTCATCTAGTCCAACCCCCCGTCTCCTGCCCCGGTGCCCGCCCGGGCGCCCAGCTGAACCGCCTGCTCGCTCTTCCGCCCGCAGGGGAGTGCCCGGCCAACATGGTGTATCTGACGGCCGAGGAGTGTCGGCGGAAAGGGGGGGCTTGCCCCCGACTCTGCCTGGACCGGGGCGCCCAGGTGGAGTGCGCCTCCCCCTGCCAGGAGGGCTGCCACTGCCCCGAGGGTCTTTTCCTCCAGGACGGTTCCTGCGTGCAACTCAGCCGGTGCCCGTGCTACTACCAGGGGCAGATTTACTCGCCGGGCACCGCCGTCTCCCGAGACTCGTGCAACAACTGGTAGGAGAGAGACCGGCAACGACAAACCCCGCCCCCCCTTTCCTCTCTTGACTTCCAAGAGGGCGGCTTTTGGGAGGGGGGTGGGTTCCGATCCAGCTGCTCCTGCCATCTTGCTCTCTTTGAAGGCTTCCTGGGTTCCGGGTTCTAATCCTGCGGCTTTTCCCTTCCAGCACCTGCAAGGAGGGGGAGATGGTGTGTGGCGCAGAGCCTTGCCCAGGTAAGTTTTAAATTGTGGGTGTGGGGTGTGTGTGTGTGTGAGAGAGAGAGACAGGCCACCGGGGTCATGACCTTTGCCCCCGGGGAGGGGGGGAGCAGGAGGATCCGAAGCCCCCCCCACTCTTTCATCCTTTAATTAATGGGTTATTGAGGAATTTAAAGATTTTTAGAATTGGGGGGGATGGGGGGGAGAAATGGAAGGTTCCCACCGGACATCACCCCGCGGAAGGATGCGGTTCCCATCATCCCCTGCCCTTCTCGGGGATAATGGGAGCTGCAGCCAGGCAAGATCAATCTTGGCTGTTTTTATGGTGGGGGGGGGACTTCAACTCCCAGAATTCCCCAGCCATGTCCACTCCTTTTAAAGCATGCTGGCTGGGGAATTCTGGGAGTTGAAGTCCTCCCCTATTAAAGAATCCTGGCTGGGGGATTCTGGGAGTTGAAGTCCTCCCCTCTTAAAGAATCCTGGCTGGGGGATTCTGGGAGTTGAAGTCCTCCCCTCTTAAAGCATGTCGGCTGGGGGATTCTGGGAGTTGAAGTCCTCCCCATTTAAATCACCCTGGCTGGGGGATTCTGGGAGTGGAAGTCCCCCCCTCTTAAAACATCCCGGCTGGGGGATTCTGGGAGTTGAAGTCCTCCCCTCTTAAAGCATCTCAGCTGGAGGATTCTGGGAGTTGAAGTCCTCCCCTTTTAAATCACCCTGGCTGGGGGATTCTGGGAGTGGAAGTCCCCCCCTCTTAAAGCATCTCAGCTGGAGGATTCTGGGAGTTGAAGTCCATCCCTCTTAAAGCAGGCCGGCTGGGGGATTCTGGGAGTTGAAGACTTAAAGCATGGCTGGCTGGGGGATTCTGGAAGTGGAAGTCCATTCCTCTTAAAGCATCCCAGCTGGGGGATTCTGGGAGTGGAAGTCCACCCCTCTTGAAGCACCCTGGCTGGGGGATTCTGGGAGTTGAAGTCCACCCCTCTTAAAGCATGCCGGCTGGGGGATGCTGGGAATCCTAGCTTCCTAGTTCAACGAAGTCTTGCTTTGTCCATTGGGAATAGGGAGAACCATGGACCTTGTAGCCTTGCACGCCCTGTACTGCGGGGGTCCCCAACCCCTGCTCTGTGGACCGGTACCGGGGCGCGGCACGCCGGTGACCGGGCCACACAAAACCAAATCCCCTGTCCGGTCGGCGGGAAGAAAGCTCTCTCCACGGAACCGGTCCCCGGTGTGTCCCGAAGGTCGGGGGTGCCCCTGCTCCAACGGGGCTTCTTCGCCTGTTGGATAGACGGGTGGATTCTGGGTCCAGCCGGGTCTCAGAGTCCTTCTCCTCCCGGACAGCCGACTGTAGCTGGAGCCCCTGGTCCGCCTGGAGCGCCTGCAGCCGCACGTGCAACGTGGGGACGAGGCGGCGCTACCGGGCCGACGCCGAGCCGGAAGGGCGGCCCTGCCAGGGCTCCAAGGTGGACATCGAATTCTGCAGCCTGCAGCCCTGCCCAGGTGAGGGAGGGAGGGAGGGAGGGAGGGAGAGAGAGATTGAGAGAGAAAGGTTGAGAAAGAGGGAGAGAGAGTGAAAGAAAATGAGAGGGAGAGGGAGAGGGAGGGAGAGAGGGAGAGAGAGAGTTTGAGAGAGAGAGATTCAGAGAGAAAGTGAGAGGCAGAGAGAGAGAGTGAAAGAAAATGAGAGGGAGAGGGAGGGAGGGAGAGTTTGAGAGACAGATTGAGAGAGGG